AGGTTTCTAAAAATATCTAATATACAAGCAATAAAATAATAAAACCACTGCACTGTTATCATAAGAAAAATAAAGTTCCACGCTGATTACTAATAGTATCTCTAGCAGATTAATGAGCATAATTTTCTTACTAAAAACACATGCACAATCAAATTATTTTCAGAATCTTTGACATCATTTTGTATAACAGAAACCAGCAGAAATTTTCAAAGGTATTGGCATATTTTGTTGCTGTTTATTTATACAATTTTAATGTACTTTTTATTGAAGAAATAAACTGATATACATACATAGCTGATTCTAGGTTACTTTTTCTTTTCCTTTTTTTTTCCTTTTTCTTTGAAGAGTTGATTTCAGCCATGCTTACCTTAGGTTAGAATGACCCTGACATTGTTTCTGTTAATATTTTACTTTTATACTTGTTCTGTTCATGACATATGTTAGCAATAAGATTCAGTCACCAGAAAAAAAAAAAAAAAAAAATCTGATTACCTTACTCCTTGTTTTAGTAAGCATCCTTAATAATCTTGTAGAGGATACTTTTTCCCAGCAGGCCATGTTGCAGTATTGCTTTGATATGTTGTCAGTAACTTTATGTTTTGATCCTCTTCTGTTATGTGAAGGAAGCTTCTGAGGATACACACAATCTTCTTTGATATTGCCCTAAGCAACTGGAGGCTTTTAAAAGAGCTCAGTAGCTGGGAGAAAAAAAGTAAGGGACAGTTCTGTTTCTTTAGAAAAGAAAGAAGAATTCAGGTAGCAAAATGATAATGGGAGAACAATTCCAACAAACACTGATGAGAATCAAATCCATGGAAGCCCAGAGATTTCTACTTTAATTTGAGCACTGTAATTTAAATGCCATGTTAGTGAAGAATGGGTGAAAGGAAATAAAAAAGGAAAAAAACAGAAATCTAAGGAAAAGAATGATCAAATGTCCACTGACAGACTTGAAAAATGCCCCAGAGAGTAGTGCAAAGACTAGACAGAGATAAAACCATAAGAAGGAATGGGGAAGAGGGAAATGATATTGTGACTACAGCCAATACAACAGTTTGTCTGTTGCTAAGAGTTAGTGAGAAACAACATGCTACTTTTCTTTTTAAAGTTATTATCTTAGAATAATTAAAAGAATTATTCAGAAAAATTGCATCGAATACTGAAAGATTATTTAGATTCTTGAAGGAGTTTTGAAAGTGAGAGTTGCAAACCTAGTGAAAGAATTCGAATATCCATTTTTAGATATTCATGTACATACCTGTAAAAATGTGTCTAATTAATGAATCTATAAAAACTGAGGCAAGACTCAATGCATTTTGCACAGGAAACAACTCTCCCGTCCCTTCTGCAGTTCAATAAGAACAAATGCTGGTTAACATCTTCCCAGGATGTAAATGTGTTTGTGTACATATAATTAAAAATATACATACATATACTAGCTCAGATCTAATCATTAGAAAGGCTAATTCAATTAAATATATCAATCCAGTTTTGTTGATTATTTCAATAGGGACAATATTGAGCTCTCCTGATATAACCACTGAACAACAAAGGTGTTAGCACTCAGAAAAGGTGAAGTTGCATATCTGAACTCCATCTTTTTGTCTACAGTAGTGGAGTTCTTGTGTGTTAACAGGCAGACCTGAACATTTTGTAAGGTGCTTTCAGAAATCTCTCCCTGAAAATAAATGATGAAATCCCTCTTTAAGAGAGAGATACACACTTTCATATAAACAAAAGGGAAGAAAATTCAAAACATAAATATTAAACAAAGATAACTTGAAGAATTTTCCTACTTATTGGTAAATACCATTATGCAACATTACAAACTTTAACTGATTCTGCAGTAAAATACCTATAATAAAAAAAAAATTATTCTAAGAATAAGAACATAACATGTATAACATTTATAAAAAGGATGAGAAAATTTTGAAATTATAACACACTAAGAGATCAGTGGGAATAGTTTAACATGTAGCTACATCACACAGCAGACATGCATGTTCTGGGAGCAGACATGCATGATCATGTATGAACCTTCTGCTTTTGGATCACAGATTTCTCCCCCTCCCCGAATAATAGTTGACTGGAATGATAACTGGTATCTTACAAGGGAAATGGAAAGACTTACAAACATACATTTCCAAGGCTGATACATCTGTGTTACAAAGGGATTCAACTACAAAATACCAAATAATGACCATGACATGTGAAATCATTCTTTGTGTTTTGACTGGAATTGTGATATAAGTAATTATTTCTCCAGCAATCAATATCTTCAAAACTTGATTAATGAAATACTATTGTCTCCTCTGTTATTTTTTCAAAAATATTCCATGTTGTAAAACATACTCAAACATCTCTCAAACCCCTATCATCTATGTATCTTCTGCAGTGAACCAGAAATTGCCAAATATACATAATTGTGAAACAGATAGCAAAGAGGTAGCAAAGTGCTGATTCCTTACAGTGGATTCCACACCCGTTTGTTTGTTTGTTTGTTCATTTATTTCCCTCTGAGAGATTTCTAATTGAAAACAGCTCTTCACACTTAGTCTTCTAAGGAGAGGTTTAACATCAGTGAATTTCAATTTAATCACAAACCTATGTTGACTTTCTCATTTAGATACTAATCATTTTCAGCTCTTCAATATTTCTGGTGCCTGGCCTTCTGTTATATAAACTCAGTTCTCCATTAAATTTTGTTTAAATTCAGCTCCTCAACCTTTCACTTCAGCTGTTCAAAAATTCAGACTTCCTCATGAAGTTCTATACCTATGGGGTCCTGCTTTCTTTTACATCACTCCATTCACATACCTATTCCTTCTTCATTCTACTGTTTTTCCATTCCCAGGCTCACTATGTTCATTTTCAATTGTACAAAGGAACAATACAGAGAATTTACAAAACAGTAGAAATTTATGAAAACAGAATATATGTATCAGAAAAAGATGAGAGTTTGACTTCTGTGCTAATTGTTTAGTTTAGAAGATCAAGAAAAAAAAAACCAAACCCAAGAGCTTGGCAGTTGACACAGAAATGTGCTTTGGCAGCTGGGGTAAAAAGCATTCATTACATCTATTTATCATCATGATTTTGTGTGCTAGCCTCTTTTCATTACCTCCCTTCTGTTATATACGGTCCATTAAACTGCCTTCATTGAAAACATATATTGCTTATTCTACAGCAAATTAAAGATATTCTGAATTATTTTTTCTGTTGGCTTGTTTCCTGTTGCAGTCAGATTTAATAACCCATGGGATGATCTGCTCCACCCCCCACTGGGGTGGAGCAGATCATCCCATGCAATATATGTGGGCTACAGAAACATTTAGTATATGTGAAGCCAAAAATGTATTATAGTCCAACTGATATCATAACTGTCTAACAAATTATTACAACTGCAATCATTATAGAAAAATAAAGCAATTAAAAAAAATACACTACAGAGCAAGTATTAATGGTAATAACAATTGAAATTGTTATCCACATACTTCCTAGTGTCTTCCTCTTTGATAATATGCTTACCCTTACATTCTCACACTGGGTCCTAAGGAATTCTTGTTCTAGGGAAAGGAGGACCACTGAGTGTCTGGAGGCCTTTGCAGGGAGGCATATATTGTTAGTTGTGGGGGTTTCTTCTAATCCTTGAAGAGATTGATGTTGATGCTAAGTTCTGTGTTCTTGTGCTAACTCTGCTTAGGATCATTTTTGTATGACTAATCACCAAAGGCCAATTACTTTTCACTAGTAAATGCAACCTTGCAAACCAAATAAAAGCAGTTGATGGATAAGCTTTGAAGAAAAGGTAACTAAGCGTACATAGTTCATCTCTTAAACTGTTTTTGCTCAGTTTGCAAAGTTTCATTTACTAGTGACAAGTAATGAACATTGGTGATTAGTGTTTACATCCCTTGGCGCCTATTAGTATTCTGTGCATGCACTTTCAGGGATTCTGTTGTCACACTGAGCTTGCATGTTTCAAGGGTCCTATTAGCTATCTCCTACCTTTCTTTAACAGCCTTCATGCTGTTTTTTTTTCCTTGTATTGTAAGTAATGTTCTATTACCATAACCTAGTCAGACATGGGTCCTTGTTTTAGGTCACTGAATAGCTTGTACAATGATCTAGTAAAAGACATATATGTATGTGTATGAACATATATAGAGATAAAAAGCATTGATGAATTCTTGTTATTGCCATCTGCTACTCATAACAATCTACTTTATAAAATTACTCAGCAGGGATTTGCACTTTCACTTTGTGTCAAGCACACTCTAGGACATATTCAAAGTCGTAGTCTTCAAAGAGTTCCACTAGCAACATCTCAATTGTTCTTCATTACAAGATCCAAGTATGCACCATGTTCATACCTGGATACATGCATATCACCCAATATACATGTGAAGACAGATCTAAAGAACATTTTGGTAGGGTCAGGGTGTCAGCATGATTGAGAGACCAAGATGCCTTAACCTGGCAACTATGTTACCTGGGGTTTCTAGAAATTTCCATACACAAGAGTCTCATCAGAAAGAACTGATGGAATATTTTAGCATGAGTAATGAATTTGCCTAGTCAATTATTATGCAGTTCTCTTTTTAAGCAGCCGCACAGCTAGTTAAATAAACATTATACTTTTTTCATACAGCAAATTATTTCTTCATTAATATGGTTTTCCATCATCCAGCCAAGTCCAGCTGATTCAAGATTTAATTGTAAACATGAAAGTAAAAAGAATCTTATTCACAAGGCTTTCTACAGAAGCAGAAAGATTAAAATAGCATTAACTTCTAGCTCAAATATACAAACCCCAAGATAAATTTAATTCCACAGAAGATCCACTTGCATAAATCCCTGAGAGCAAAAATAATCATTGGTTTGATTGTATTTTTTCAGGTGGAATGAAAAGTAACTGTTTGGGGGTTTATTGTTTTTTTGTTTTGGTTTGTTTGCTTGCTTTTGTTTAAATTTGCTGTTGCCTACTTCTTTCAGCGCAGGTTGAAACATCCTCTTTCTGGCTGGTAATTAACCAGGCTTCTTTTGGATCAAAACGTATGGCTGACAAGACTAAAGACATCTGAACAAATATATTTTCTGAGTCATTTGAAGCATGAATTACTTAGGCTAGTCCTCTGCCTTTGGGATTTCATTTAGCTGACCTCTAGGCATTTCAACGATTGCATAGGATGCTCCACCATAACAAGCCTTTCAAGATGAAAGAGCTACTGTTCACTTTGTCATTTTAATCCCACCATGTGAATTAAAAAATTACTTCTGTAGAAGTTATTTTGTATCAAACTGTTTAATAATGTGAACCAATAAGTCATTTTGAGGACTAATAAAATACTATGCAGTCATTCATATGAATCTTTAGATGATATTTACCATAGGTCTTTAACACTGGAATTCCTCAGTGTTAACACAGAGTTATGTAATATTAACCTTGCGAAGAAAAAGCACAAGTTTAGTATTTTTTGCTTCTTAATGAGTGTTTGTGTAGCAAAGGGCATTTAATTCGTGTAAAGTTATGGGGGAGATTTATGGTTTGTTTAACATAAAAGCTAAATTATTTTATCTATGTTAGAAAAGCTGATGTTCCAGTAATTTGAAATGTTCAATAAATTATTCACATATCTTGTTACAGTAATAGTCATAACACTTTTGTTATGGGAAAAAGGGAACACACCTATGCAGAACTAGGAATTTGCTGTTAATTAAAGTTGTATTAGTATAATCAGTATATTCATTTTTTTTAATTCTGGTTGCAATATTATAAACACTACTAGCATGAACTACATTATGATTACAGAAAAGCCTCATAAATAATACAATCTGATTTTTTTTACACATGTATTTTCTACTATCTATTTGGGGGTTTTTGAGTTGTGCGTGATTCAAATGTTGTTTTCAGTTTGTCCTGGGTTCAGCAGTAGCAGTCATGTTTCTCCTCCTTGGTAGCTGGTGCAGTGCACTGTTTTGACTTTCGGCCTGGGAACAGAGCTGATAGTGATGTTTTGGTTTGGCCAAGGACTTTGTGAGCCTCATGCTCTGCCAGGGAGGAGGGGAAGCCGGGAGGAAGCAGAGACAGGACACCTGACCCAAACTGACCAAAGAGGTATTCCATACCACAGCACGTCATGCCCAGGATGTAACTTGGAGTTAGCTGGAAGGGCTGGGAGACTGCAGGGTTGGAGGAGGTATCGGTCGGTGCTTGGTCGGGCTGAGGGGGGCCAGTTATCAGTCGGCTGGTGCTGTTGTATTCTCTTCCCTTGTTATTTCCTTTATCATTCTTATCACTGGTGGTAGCAGTAGTGATTTGTGTTATACCTTAGTTACTAAAGTGTTCTTATCTCAGCCCGTGGGAGTTACATTCTTTTTGATTCTCCTCTCTGTCCCTCCGGGAGTAGGGGGAGGGAAGGAAGGGGGGGAGTGAGTGAACGAGTTACCTGACTGGGTTTAAACCACGACACAGTTCTGATGGTATAGCCTTCCTCAAGAATGAGAGTGCTGGGTAAATTCAGCATATAATATTCATGCCAAGTTCTCCACCAGAGGAATATGATTTTGATGTTGGAGTTTTCTTTTTCCTTAATTTGCCTTGATAGGTGGAAATTATGGGTATGAGAAGAACAAACAAACCAGGTGACCCATTTTCTGCCTTTGCTTTGAGATGTTTAAATACATAATACTATTTAAAAAGAAGAATAAACCTTTGTGTAAATTTTAATACAGTTATTGGAAGTGTTCTAAGAATTTAGCTAAATGAGAAATAGTTAAGAACACACAAAATATGGTCATAATTTTGATTGGAGATGTTGTGGTATTGTGGCACAGATTACTGAGGTAAGGTAACTGGTGGACAGGTTTAGGTAGTTTCTAATGACAGCTTTTATACATTGCAAGTTTGAATTACTTTTTTTACATTATTTGTTTGGATTTCCTACCTTTAAAACATCTCCTTTCACTATACCATGCCTCTTTTGCACTTTTTCACATCCACTCTAGTCATTTGTATATTCTTGTAAATTGCTTTCAGATATGATCCAAAGGAAACTAACAGACATTAAAAAAAAAAAAAAAATCAGACATTTTTGTCAAATAAATGAAATATTGCAAAGTTATTCTGCAGGAAGAGGTATATACTTCTCACATTATATTTAATGGATCTAACATATCATACATTATATTTTCAATTAAAGTCAAAGAATACCAGATTGGATTTTAGATATTTTCTGTGTTTATCTAGGAGGAGGCAAAAAAGTATCAGGATGCTTTTATTTAATATTAGCAATAGTAACAAATATGGAAAATTTCTCCTTGCAGAAGACTTCACAAAGTGCGTCATTACTGTGTTTCTGGGAAAAGTTTTGAAAGGATTCAATAAAAGAAGGGTCTTTAAGGAAAATACTGGCTTGCTGTCTCTCTTCCCTCACCACCCCCCTCACACGCATTCCTCCCCAAGTTTGTTGCTCAGCTGTAAGAGCCTTAACTTGTGCTCTTTTGTCATGTAAAATGGACTGATGGATCTTTTCAAACAGAGATAAGAGCAAGGAAGATAACAATGCAAACATAGTTAAAGGAAATTTTCTTCTGTTCTGGTTTAACAGATAAGCAGACCCAAAATTACTCAGAAACAACACAATAGATGAATTTGTGATATACAGCTTTCCTGCCCAATCTACGTCTGTTGTTCTTATGTTTTTACTGGTAATTGTACATGATGATTTACTTTGCATTCCGTTATCCAATTAAAATTGTTTCCTGCATATTTAATCATACTGTTCTAAAGGTATGGGCATACATGAAGTCAGTGGTTTTATTGCCTTGACACACACTCCTCTTATCATAGAATCATAGAATTCTTTGTATGTCTCTAGTTAGCATTTTTGTTTGTTTGGTATGTTTTAATGCAAAAATAATTAACACCTTTAAAAGCAGTTCAGTCACTGTCTATGGTAGAATCATAGAGTGGTTAGGGTTTGAAAGGACCCTAAGATCACCTAGTTCCAACTCCCTTGACAAGGGCAAGGACACCTCCCACTAGACCAGGTTGCACAAGGTTCCTCATGAACACTGAATGCATGTCATGACTACTTAGCTATTAATCAGTTATTACGAAATAAAGAAGATAAATAAATTCCAAAGGGTTAAATCATCAAAATAAGCAAAATTGAAATCTCCACAGATAGTCTGCTCAGGCACAACAGAAATTGTCTTTCTGACAGCCAAAATTTCTATGTACTTTAAAAAACATTTGTAGTTAGATATTCACCCTCTTTGACTTCCAGAAAAGTATGTGTAAGATACTATTGAGTTTACCTGCACAGCAACCTGGTCCAAAAAAGCAGGTACCTGACTGATTAGTCCTGCTTTATTCCAGCATTTTCAATAGCAGAAGACTAATGAGTTCTTCCTTCCATTAAAGGAAAGATTGAGGTTTCTTTATATCTATTACAGATTAGATTTTACATTCCTTTAGCCAGTTATCTGCTAAAACACAACAGAAAACATCTTTTCTCACTAGGCTTGAATTATATAAGTTGGCGTAACGAAAATGTAGCCTTTTTAAAACTTATTATTCTTAGTGCATTTTATTGAGCTATCCTGGACATTGGGCTGCTAAAAAAGTTCAACTATGGCCCCTAGGTATAGTTTTTAAATCCCTTAATTTATCTCTTTTGAAAGCTGATAATATATATGTAAAATTAAACAAACCACTGAATCTTCTCACATAATCATATAAGCCTTCTATCACAATTAGGATAAGCTATAGGTATGGTTCAAAATTTCTAAAGAATCTGGCTGATAAATAAATAGTACTTGAATACTTACAGCTTAAAATTTTGGTTTGAGATAAAGGAATTTTAAATTTTTTAATCTATTTAATGCAATTATATATATGCCCATTTTTCCTGATGTTTGCTACCCTAAATTTCTCTTACCTTTTTATTTAAGAAAGAGAGGAACTGCAATGGAATTGATAGGAGGCCTCCTGTGCATATGCAGCCACACATGCTCACTGGCAATTACATACTTCTATAAGTTATAGAACAATCCAAAAATAGTACACCAGAGGTATTCACCTCACTGAACTCTACTATCCTACAGTATAGAAATCCCCATCTGAGTTGGCAGTTTAGCCTTCCATTTAATTTGGCCTATTTTAGTTATCTATTTTAAGATTTTATGAACTGAGCTCTAGTACACCCACCTGAAAGCCAGTTACCTTGAAGAATACATTAGAGGTGCACAGGGAAGCAGACATGAGGCATCACAACTGAAAATTAGGTGGGAAAAAATGAGGAGTAAGTGCATGAATTACCTTCACAGAGCTAGGATGTTACTTTGTCACATAGGATGCCTTAGGTAATATTCAGTTTTACATAAAAATTAGATTAAACATGCCTACCCCTCACCCCCTTAAATTTGCATTGTAATGCATACTTACGCAGGTTCTGTAAATTTGATTAGGACAGCTGAGTTTTCAGTCTATATTTTGTACTCTTGTTTTTCAGATTACTTTTAAAAGTACACGCACATGAGACAAGCTACAAAGAACGTTTATTTTTCCAGGTAACTGAGGAATACAAGAGCTGTCCCGGTTATCCTGATTTAGCTGGGGTAATTTGGGAGTATAGGAGATGTTCTGATATCCCAGCAAAAAAAAAACTTCAAGGAGCTATTTTGCTCTAAATTTTTTGTCTCGGGAAAATGCTTAATGTCTCTGCTTTCCATACATGCACCCAGCCCTGGATCTGACTCTGGCTCCAACCTGTTTATTTGTCTTTGATTCATTACAAAAAGTGAAGAATATTTAATGTCATCTGCATCAAGATGAGAGATGTAACATATTCCTCAATACTCAGTCCTATGCAGCACATCTGTGACACCTTAACAGAGCATGAGTGCTTACTGCATGTGTGTTTATAGACCTATCTGTGATGATGAACTATTTGAATAACAAGTATTTATCATAATTTTTGTCCGTTTTCTTTTCTTAACTGTAGATGTGTCTTGTAGCATTTCTAACAAGATTCTACCCAAGACAATATAAATTTAGCAGAATTGTAATTGTAATATTGTAATTGTAATATTACGGTACATGTTCATATAGCATTTATCTTTAGAAGAATGTCATTTGGGGGATGGGAGTGTTAGTCTCACCTGATTTTAGCTGCCAAACAATGGATGTCTTATACAAGTCATTTACAGTAGGTTGAATTACCTTTACGTAGAGACCTAAAGTGATTTGCATAATCCAGTCTCCTACCTTTTAGTTCATTAATATTTGTTCAGATAAGTTTCACTGAAACACAGCTGTTAAATTAAGAAGGCAGAAATTATCCTACTTACGTTTGGTAAGTCCCAAGCATGTTTTTAATGCAACTTTTGAATTAATGCAATGATGTAATAATACTTTTTTTCTTTTTTTTTTTTTTAAGTGAAAAGATATTTGGAAAAGTATCAGTAGTGCAGAAAGTGTGTATTTAAATAATAAGTAAATTTGATGCAATGAAAAAGTTTAGTATTTTAGTTGTTATTTATTGTTTCATGTAAAGGAATTTCACAGCTGGTGTATAATTTTATACACAAGAAAACAAAGACATTTTAACTGTTTGCAATGGGTTAGCTAACAGCCAGAATCCCATCCACCCTCTCCTTCCCATCCACTCCTCAGCATGGCAGGGGGAGCAAATAGGATGGGAAAGATCATGTGTTGACATAAAGATAGGGAGATTACTTAACAATTGCCCTTACTGGCAAAACAGACTCAAATTGGGGAAAACAAATTTAATCTATTGTCAATTACAATGTATTTAGGGAGGGAGAAACAAACAGAATCATAAAGCTAACAGGGTTCCTCTCCCCACTTTCCAGGTTCAACT